AAAACACTTTGTGTTGTTTCAAGTCCTCTCTTTCTCTGACACTTCACATGCAAACCCTTAGCAAATCTTGTTTGTTCCATTAAAAATAGTCCTGAACCTGAAGAATTATCTCAGTATCCTGTGCTCATATCTTGTTCCAAGTGACCATTATTGCCCAAATCATCACCCTGTTTCAGCTCTTGCTTTTCCTGCTATAATCTGTTCATCACTTTAAAACCATATCAGATCGTGTCATCCCTCTGCTCAGAAACCTGCAGTGCTTTCCTGTGTGGCTATGAATAAAAGCCAAAGTCTTTACAATGGTCTGTCAGATCTGGGTCCTTGCTGCCCAGTGGATTCATTTCCTATTGCCCTCTTCTCTTTCATTCTGCTCCAGGTGCACTGGCTTCCTGGACAACAAAGGCATATTTCCACCTCAGAAACTTTCTGTTTTCTCTGCTGGAATGCTTTTCCCTGCGTATCTGCACAGTACACTCCTTCAGAGTTTTTCTTAAATATCACCCCAGTAATGCATTTCTTGCTTTATTTTTCTCCATAACATTTATCATCATCTCACACACCACATATCTCACACACTTATGGGACTGTTTTTTTTCTGCTGCAAGAAATTTCACCCTAGGAGAGACAGTGGGGATTCTGGCCTGTTATGTACACTGCTGTATTCCCAGTACTGATAAGATTACTGGACACGTGTGCTCAACTAGTAATTTTTGAGTATTTTTGTTGTTAACTATTATGTGATTTTTTTCTAGTTGAAGACAGAGATTGCTTTTACACTGATGGTACCTAGGAAATAGATTTCTAGTGGATAATTAAGGTAACACAAGCAAACAAAATAAGTAAGTAAAATAAAACAAGCAAAATATAACTCCAAATTGAAATAAAAAAAGGGCTTGTTTCAAATACTTCATAAGCTTTAAAGAACAACAGAACAGTTGCCTTTAAATAAAAAGAAAAGAAAAATGGAAAGATGGGAAGAGGGAGGAAACCAGGCATGTGTGTATATGTGTGTATTTTTTAAAAATTAGCATCTATTTACAAATTTTTTCTGATCAGTCTTCAACTGACTATGCAGATAATAGCTTACTATTCCACAAAAATTCAAAGAATGACTGAAAAGATTCATATCAATAACTCTATGTACTTATATTTCTCATTAAGCAAGATCAACTGCAGACTCTTAGGGAGTCCATGCCATCTCTGAGATTTGGAGAACAAAAGGAACTGCTCATTAAATCAAAATATATTTCTTAACTGGGAAAATGTCCTACTTTTACAGCAGAAAAAAAAAGAATGCCAGTAATTTCAATAGTTCCTGCTAAAGAAGAGAACAATGCTAACAAACATTACTATTTAAAAAATGGGAACTTGAGATTGAAAAATGAGCAGAAAATGCAAAGCTAAGTTCTGGTTACATTTACGGAACATGAAGACAGTTGTTCTTAAGCTGTTTGAGGTCCTACTCTACTCTCAGGTTCTCATGAAAACCACAGATTCCCTTTGGAGCCTATGAGTTTTACTGGTTCATGGATTACCCTCCCAAATCCTCCCCTGCCCCCATACCACAACCAGAGTTAAGGACTTGTGCAACTCACAGGTGCGGTTACACTCAAAAAGCGAAAATAGCAAGTGCTGCTGTAGATGTGGAGAAACTAGAGCCCTCATTATCAGGGGTGGAAATGTAAGATGGTGTGGCCACTTTGGAAAACAGTTCGACAGTTCCTCCTTTAACACAGAGTTAGAGTATTTTCTATTTTCTTTTTTTCTCAATATGATTTTTTTTTAATCACAGTCTTCTCTGAAAACCAAAGGACCTCAATGCAAATTATGTTTGTATTTGACCTGAATATAGCAGTGCAAAATGATCACCACAGCCATTTGAACTCCATCTCAAAAAAAGAGAAATTAAAAAAATTGTTTTACTCTATGCCATTCCTGAAATACAGTACAATAAATCAATAAAAATAGACCAAATGATGTATCTTGATTGCTAATGTCAAATAATGAGGTCAGCTCTGCTATCGCAGTATTTCGGCGAACGGGAGCACGAGCTCCTGAATTGGGAAGACCTAGTAACTGAGGAGCCCCTCGATTACTACTATATGAATAACTCTGAGAAAGTCATTTAATCCTTCCTGTGCCCCATTTTCTCTACTATAACTTAAGAATAGCATTAGTTATGTCACCGAGTTGTTATGAGGATTTATACAGAATGCTCTGCACAGTGATGGCAACAGTGCCTAATACATGTACTTATTCCTAATAATAAATCAGTGTTATTCTTAGTCATGGTATTGAAGAAGCATTGGATGTACATTAGGATAGCAGCATGAGTGCCATCGGTGCTAGTTATGTGACCTTGAGCAACTCATTTCATTTTTCCAGATCTCAACGAACTCATCTTCATCTCCAACGTCCCTGCTGGAAATATTCCATCATAATAGTTACATAATATGGGTATGTAACACAAACCTTATGTTCTCTGGCACAAAACTTAAAACCTTCTTCTAAATGAAGGTATATATTATGCCCAAGATATGATCATGATATTTTTACCAAGGCATATGTCAATTTCTACCTTTTAATAGTCAACAAGGATTTTAGTGTAAAAATTTAAAACTAAATAAAGAAAAATGAAATATACGGACCCTTTTTTTTGTTTGTTTTTGTTAAAATTCTTGAGACAAAAGCATACTTTTAGGAGATTCACGTATTATTTAAATAATCAAAGCAACTATCTTAATTGTTCACCTACAGATCAATTATCACAGCTGACTACTGACAGTCCAGATCTCACTGTTGTTTTTTTGTTTGTTTGTTTTTTGGGTTGTTTTTGGTGAAATAAGCAAAAGGTGGGAAGCAAGAAGTAAAAAATGGATCTAGGTAATTCATAAGACAGACACTGTACTTTTAAATAATTAAAAGCTAATGTATTTAGATGGTCAAAATCAAACATAAGAAAATCATTGCTTATACCCATGGGAAGGAAATTTTTTGTTTAAGAATTTCATGATAACTAAATAATTATCTTGTTTCAAATTTAATGCAGATAGCATTTCAAGTGTATTTCATACCTATTTCATAGGTAACTCAAAATGTGCTCTGAACATAGTAATAATAGGGAACATAAGTCTTCAAAACTGAAATAGACTAAATTTTAAGGCATTATTCACTCTAAAATTTCATAGAATAATGCTCTACATTAAAAGGAACAGAAATAATGTCATATTAGTGAGCAGAGTATTTCTGCTTCACCAATGTTCTGTTTGTATTTGGTCTTATCAGATGTTTAGTCAATAGCTGAAATATTTATTCATAGCCAGTCAATTATAACACCAGGAAATCAGCCATTGAATAAACTGTGGTATTAATTTCTCATCAGAGATTCATGTTTGAATGACCATGCATTTCATAGATTTAAATACTGAAAGGCTAATTATCTCCAAGGCTCCATTCAAGAGATAGCATAGATCGTAATCAAAAGCAACCCTAATATTGCTCAAAATGATCCTCAGCTTTTAATGCTGGAGAATACTTCAATTTGTATATCTGTTACACACATTATGCAACATATATACATAAACTTCCCAAAGCAATTTCTTTCCTGAAATCTTAGAAAAATAAGCCTGAACAGCTTCTTATATACAAAGAACCATTATCTTTTAAAGTAAAAAGCAAACTAAAAGCTTTTCTTCCTAATATTTGTTTATTGTTCAAATTTTTTTTCCTCTTAAATGACTGTCTCAATAAATGCCCTTATTGTGAATAAACTGATACAGTTTAATTTCTGGACTACTAATCTGGGAACCAGGAACCTGGGATGTTGAGGGCATCTCCCTTCACAAACACAGTTGGCCTTCACCTTTAAAAATGCCACGATATACACACAGAGGGAATGAAGTTTACAGTCACACGGTTTCATATTATTTCTTCCTTCTGATAAAGTTAATTTGTATATTGGGACCCACACAAATGGAGGCCACTCCAGTGGCCTGACCCACATCACACATCTAAACCGGCGCGTCCGGGAAGTGCCTGTCGTGGGAACCTAACACACCAATCACAATCCTCCAACTCAGTTTAGGTAGCTCACCTTACCCTAGAACACAGGACCTGTCCGCCTTCTAAGGAAATCCCCAACCTCCTAACCAAGTGTGCCCTGCTTCCAAGCTGTGTCTATAAAACTCACTCTTGCCCAACATCCCTCAGGAAGAGTGCTCCACTGATGGTGAGGCACTGTACTCCCCCAGTCCATGGATGGTTTTCCCTTGAGTAAAGCACATCAAAGTCATTACTAAATCATTTTGTCATCTGTCCCTTCCTTTTTTCCTGTCCTCTCCTCCCTCCTCTCCCTTCCTACCTTCTTTTCCTTCTTGTAAAAAAAATTATGAAGCTTGCTTCTGGGATTCTTTTTCACAAAGAACCCATAAACATAGAAATGTTTTCTACCTTGCTTAGAAACAAACTACATGTTAACTGGAGAAAAGTTATATTTACATTGGGATTCATGTATTTATAATGAGTGGAAGAGAAAGATCATCATAGCATGTCCTGATCAATTTGACAGAAGCATGATATTTCAAGTACTCTGGACTATATGTTGTCTTATATGACTCTGATTGAGTGTCATTTCTGGATGATGTACTATTCAAATATTAGCTAGACCAATATATGAATGAAATGTATCCACACCCATCTCTCTGAAGAAATTAGAGATTTATATATTATACCCAACTCACCTTTCAGTGATGACCAGAATTCTTACACCCCAAGGTGTACCTCCTTGTTAATCTGTGTTCCTTTTGGGTGACAGAACACTGGCACTGTCAAATTTCTTTTTAGCACACACCCTTTCATATGTCTTTCCATCCCCACCCTCTGTGCCCTCCCTGAAACTCTTCTAGTTCAACAGGGTACATTGTCATCTCTCTATCAGATGCCCGTATCACCAACAGAGACAATTCAACAACTTATCACATTGATAAAAACGCAGAAAGTACCTGGACATAGGCTCTGCAAGAGCGCTCTCTTTTCTGAAGCTGAATCCATTAAGACAGCAGATTAAACACAGAATAGAAAAAACAAGTTAGTGACAGGAGAAAACAAGAAAAATAAAAGAACACATCTACACAAACACCTTACTTTGTTGTGCACTACTTTCTAGAAGAGAATGAAAGGCTAAGCAGCAGCAAAACGTCAGCAACGGCTCGAAAAATAGTAACCAACGCCTGTTTAGAACCCAAGTGACAACTGGATGGTACAAAGCTGTTAATGATGGAACGAAATCTTGAAATAAATTTAGCAGAAATTAGTAGAAATCAATGTACTTCATTCATTTGACATGATTCATTTCATATGAGGTTAGTTATTAATTCATGGGCCACAAATGAAGACGTATGAAGTAAATTATGTCAAAAATTCAGAACTTGCTTTTCAAAGATAGTACACTGTCTGTGGTTTACAGATTATATACATGCTTAATATGAACCACAAACCGTTTGTGGAAAAACTTCTGTGCATTGAGAAAAACAGAAATGCCCACTAGTTTGACTATTTGATTCAAAGGACAAATACCAAGAAATAAGCAAATTCTGATTCAAAGAATGTGATCAATCTTCTGATTTATCTGTTTTATTTCTTGAAGAATTTCTTTTGATGGTTTTAACCAAAAAAATTTATACTTTTTAGAAATTTTTGTGGGATAAAAAGCCTGTTTTGGTGTGTTTGTTTGCAAACAGAACAATGTTTTTCAGGGCAAAAGGTTAACAGCAACTCACATTCAGTCCCAAACATTTTTTTTCTAGTGATTAAAATGAATAATTCACATGTATTTGCTCTGTTTAAATAAATGACTGCAAATTTTATAAATTAGATTGTAGTTTTCCCCCTCTTCCCTATTTTTTGCCTTCAGTAGCCTTGATTGTTGAAGGAGAAAATTACCCTGTTTTAAGAAGCAGTTACTCTGATGCCTTTTGTGTGGCTAATACTCTCCCAACTTTAATTCATGCATTCTTCAATGAGCATAGAGCAGTTACTCCTCTAAAGAATTAAGTGAGGAATGAGTGCAAGTAAATTGCCAGCTCTGTCATTTGGATCACTGACTCGCATCATGGTTTGGCAGGTCTCTAAACCCTCCAGAATTTCAATGTGGAGCGCAATTGATTTGTACCAAGTTGACTTTGCAAATCTGATGGGCTATAACTGCTTTTGGGAACAGTGTGAACCACAGGAAATGAGAACAAACCAGCAAGCATGTGAATAACCTTTGCCCTCCCATCTCCTTACCCCATCATGCAAATTAACATATGACAAACCACATTACATAAACGATTGAAAAGAGCCAAATAAGAAACAAAAGAGAGCATTAAAAAGCTTCAAAAATGGAAATTTGCCCATTACTTAGTTATTTGATATTCAGAGTAGGCAAGCTGATTAGCTGTAGCCAGTTAGAATGTGACATTAATCGCCAGCTTTACCTGATATTGTCAGACATCAACACCATCATCAACACCATTTTTAAATAAAGATACACAGTATTGCTATACCAAGTAATGTTATGGATATGTAACATTATAGAAATTACTACTTCCAATACATTGTAATAACAATAGCTGGCAGCAATATTCATTAATAGCATCCAGTCAGCCTGGCAATACCACATTAAAATCACAGCATGCCCAGATTACATAGGCAGCTGTGGATTATATTCTGTCAGGGGTTTGGCTGAGATTCTATCAGTGATATGAGTGATAAAAATAACTCCTTTATGCTCAGCAGGAAAAAAGCTTTAGTAATAATTTATATCTAATTGATAAAACTGAATCTATTTTTTTGAGGAGGAAATTGCAGGAAAAACTGCCAGATAAAATATGTAGCTTTTTAATATAAAACTATCATTGTTTTAATAATGTCTCCATCTTCATGAGTGAGACTTTTAGTCTAATAAGACAGAAAAGAAATAAACATAATAAAGACCACTCTGCAAAATTATTTCTTTCATTCTAAAGAGGAATGTTCATTTAGTGAATTCCATACATTAGTCTGTCACAGTCAAATTCTTCCTTTTTTAAGTAGTTAGACTATCATCGATATTCAAGGTATTAAATATTGAAACTTAAAATCTCGTTTCAATAACAGATCATCTTGACTACAAAAATGCCATTCAGGGAATACATGTTATCTGATGGCAGCAATTCTAATATCTTTTCACCACGTGGTATTTTGTTACATAAATAAATGATATTCCTTATAAATATACAAAACATATTTTACATGCTTATGTAAAATAAAATGGTTGTATGTATATAGGTTATATAGAATATACATATAAAATGCTTATATATGAGTATATAGTGTATAAAAATATATATTGCAGATTTTTAAATATAAATAAAATACATAAAATCTAAAATTTTAAAAATAAATTATTTTTATTACTTACAATACAAAGTTGCTGAATCACATTTAGACCTTTTAAGTTATAATGGTAGTAATATAAAATCAGTAATTTAAAAAGCAAAAGGAAATAAAAGTAAAAACTTAAATACTTGCTCTGTGAGATTTTAAAGGTAATATTAATAAGGTTAAATTATTTTTAAAAATCTATAATGTATTATTAATATCCTTACTCACTGTTGCCATTTTCTAAATTTCTTATTGATTAGTTATTTGTTTTATTGTTGATTACATTAATATAAAGGTTTGAAAGAAAAAAAAAGAAATCAAGGAAGTGCCATTTATATTAATCGTGTCAGAATTTAGCATACAAAAGAGGAGTACTATGGGGAAACAGAATTGTAAATTCAAAATATATAGAGAGAGATTATCATCTACTGTTCTTTAGATTGAAAGCCAAGTAAGGTCATTATTATAATGAAATAGTGAAGTGAACTAAATATAGCTAGCAATTCTCTTGAACGATCTGATCTTATAGAGAGAAATTAAAAAGGGAAGTCTCACTGATTTTACTACACTTTTAAAGATACATGTCACCAAGGTCCTTACCTTGTTCAAACTTCGTGCAGCACTATCTTTTCCACCTGGGGTCAAGTTCCGCAGTTGTACATCTAGGAGGCCTACTAGCTGGTCCATGGCACGGACGGAATAAGTGATGTCTCCAGCATTCAAATGATTTCTTGTCTGTTCGGCCAGCTCTCTAGCAATGTTGGCAGCTGTCTCTCCAGATTTCAGCTACAATTTTGAAAACAGAACAAAAAGGAAAGAGATCTTAAATAAGCAATTTTATTGCTCTCTTTGGGTAATTGTTTTTGTGTATAATTGAGGCAAGAAAGTTATTAAACTCCCTCTTCACTTGGTATACATTCCCCAAGTTTTCCTGCTAATCTATCATTTTTCTTCAATACCTGATTTGAAATTCATGACTTTAGGAAGCTCCTCTTGAATCTAACTTACAGAAATTGTTCTTATTTTAATTATTCATCTGAGTGGCTAAATCCAAGGTTTGCCCTATGATTCTTCTCTGTGAGTTTCTAAATTGGATGTTGATGAATTTATCTTGTGAATCCCAAAGATATTCTAGGTTCTCAGAGGCAAGTACAGATTTCCCATCATGCCTAATTAAGCACTCACTGGCTGCTGAACTCTGTAAAAATTTTATTCCAAATAAAATGCCTGCTTTTCAAAGTGGTCTTTATCTTCTTACTAACTAAATAAGAGATTTTGCTCCCAGTGTACTAGAGAGCAAACTAGTTTCTAGCACTTTCCTTTTCTGAAACTACATGCTGATTTTTCAAGTATATTCTACAAGAATTTTTTGAAATTGTCAATACTCCAAGGATATTAGAAGAAATAAAGGCTAATATCTATGATCACTTGAACAAATTTGGGTAATAAGAAGATGGGAATATATATATTAGTTTGTAAGGAAGGCATGAGGAACTTTAAAAAAAAAGTAAGTGTAATTTCTCAAGTTATCTTGTTTTATACCATTTTTAAATTAATAAATTAAAATAAAACATATTTACACAGCACAGATATAGGGTATGCAATGCAAAAATAATGAATGCCTCTTTTTTTTGCCTCTCTCTCTATTCACTTCCCAGAGACTGTTACTGGTTTGGTATGCTTTCCAAACTTTAGCCTGCCCTATTATTACTTAAATATATAATAGAGTCATTATTTAGAAAATTATTTTATTTTCTTCTTTTTCTGTTTTTAACACAATCCAGTATAGGACTCAGGATCACAAACAGAAAGGTCTTCTCTTTGTAAGATTATCTTCCTAATGTAAATCCAGAAAGCTGTAAGGGGCACAACAAAAACTCTTAATCAAACAGGTTATCACTATCTACTCAGGGATGCTTAATAAATGTTCATAGCAGTACTGAATGTTAAAGAAACAAATGAATAAATTGGAGCAACAGGAAATCTAAATTGTTAACAATCATAATCTCATGTATATAGAAAACTCCTAATTCAAAAATATAAAAATAAGTTTAGTAACATAAAGTGTTTGCAAAAATTTGTGAAAATGTATACTATCATCATAAGCTACTACTGGATGTGTATATTTGCATACTGCCCATGTAGACTAAATTACCAGTGGCTATTAAACTCTGTGAAGACTGCACAAGCAGAGATTTCTCTGATCCTATCAACCATAAAAAATAATCTCACAAATATAAAAAAGAAATGTTAAAAGATGTTCATTTCATCTTGCTTATAATTGAAAACAAAATGAGTTATGACTATGGAAAACTGCTAATATATATAAATATCATGGAATATTACACAATAGTTAAAAATATGAAGGAGAACAAGGTTGTTAACATCAGTCTTCAACATGTGGAGTTAAAATAAATGCAAATATAAAAATTATATATATGCTAATATTATAGGCATGCTATTTATGAAGAATAAATACATAACTTTAGTATATAACCATGTTACCTATGAAAAATAAATATTATATATAAATATTTTATGTGTTTATATATGTGTATATATTTAAACACACAGGACAATTCTGAAAGATGAAAATCAAAAGAAAAATCCTTTTCTGCAATGTTTAAATTTTATAAGAAGAAAATATTAATATACTACAAGAAGAATATGTTATAAAGTATTATTAGATAGTTAATTGGTACTTTTTAGACACTCTTAAAATAAAAAAAATCTGCACTAAGTTTAATAAATTTGAGAAATATGGTCAGGGCTGCAAACCTAAGATACTTGTAAGACCAAATGGAATACATTATAAGGTTCATCAAAAAGTATGTAACAGTCAATGTAGATCAAAGTAGCATTCACAACCCCACTGATGGAACATGAAAGTACTTTTAAGTGGTACAGAGTGACACAAACGTGATTATAATCCATACATTTTAATTATTAGGTACAATTTAGGGCTACTTACTAGTAATCTAGTAAATCGATTAATGATTTATGTAATCAGTATTCATAGCATTCATTAATTAAATTGGTTAAATACTAGTAGTATTCATGAAGTATTCTAATTCAGTATTCCATCAATAAGTCTGAACACCTTATACAATTGATTGGCAACTTTTCAAAATTCCTGTGTATGTGAGTATACAGATAGCTGGAATTCCTATAATTTTCCAAAGGGATATTTTTTTAATCAGTGTACCATTCATAGTGTCTTGCATTTGTGGTAGTTTTCCATCTATGCTATTCTTACAATAATGAATGTATTTGTGAAATTACTATTGTTTTACTTTGTTAACCACTGTGTTCTTGTTTAATTGTTTTATTACTATTATTATTATTATCATTATTACTGTATTGTTTTCTTCTATGTCTTTATTACAGCATAATACTTTTTCTATGACAAAATGTCAAAGCACATGGACCTCTGGAGTCTTTTGATTCACTTAAATGGGCCTTGTTGAAAAAAGATTAAGATCTACTGAAGTAGGTAATAGTCATTCTTTAACACATTATCTTCAAAACTAAAGATGCAAGTAGTGACTTTCATCACATTTATCAGGGAACATCATGAAAAGCAAAATTATTTATGAAGCAGAAAAAAAATAGCACTGGTATTTTCACACTGTAATTCAATTTCTTTTTCTGTGTAATTGTACCAACAGTCTTCAATATTATTATAATATTGGGGTGGGACATGATAATGGAAAAGAAGGCCTATGTAGTCCCCTAATACAAAAATTTTAACTTTTTCTTTATGTAAAGTAATGGAAAATTTGAAAATGTAGATGACTAATAAGTCAAAATATAACTGTTCTCAACATAAAAGATAATAATGCTGCCTATATATGTGTCAGTAGCAGATAGTGTAGTGTCATAAAACAATGACTCAAATATGAAAATCACTAGTGGTTATTTTAAAAACAGTAACTGCATTTTAGCATTCAAAAGTGTTTATTTATGAAGAATAAATCTAATTAATCCCACAAAAGAACTCTGGAACTCACTGTTCACCAACTAGAAAGTTGTAAGAAAAAACTAAAGTACAAATAAGTTACTCTAATGTTTATAATAAAAATGCAAAAGTATGTTTTTAAAGCTAAATAAAAATTGATATAACTAATTATTCAGTATGATCCTTTCTGTTAAAATTGAAGAAACAGTAGTAATACTTTTTCAATCATTCAACAATCATTTGGACTTTTGTCATTTCCTAAGGAATGAAAGACAAATGCTGTGCAGAGCTCTTGCATTCAGGAAGCTCACATTCTACCAGTTGGTATGGAGAGTAAGGGGTGCAAAAAGGTAGATAATATTAATTCAACAATACAATTATAATAACAGAAATGTATATGAGGTGTCGTGGGAATATAGTATGGGGGTAATAAGTGCCTGGAAATTAGGTGGGAAGGCAACAGAAAGTAACAAATAAGTTCAAAGTTAAAAGATAAGTGAAGGGTGACCAGGTAAGAGAAAATTCTGGTGGGGACTGGTGGCGAGAGAACCAAGAGGATACTCTATAAAAGGTGAAGTCTAGAATAATCATGGTTTGGGAAGACAGGGTACCAAGGGTAGAACAGAAAGAAAAAGTAGAGTTCTCTACCTTCAGAAGTCAATACTGATAACTACATAGCATAAATTGTGTATGTATGTATTAAATATAAATACATATATCTATTTTTTAAAAAAACAGAATGAATATCTCTACCTCTATGTATAATTTCAACAATTGTTCCTTCAGTCTATCTGTTCATTTGTTCTTTAACTAAAATTTGAATTTCTAATAGCACTAAGCTAAAGTCTGGGGATAAAATGGTTAATAAAATGGTTCCCCATAACAGGACCTTACATACCAGCAATGGAAAGGGCTGTCAACAAATAACTGCACAATTACTTCATTTCAATTTTTTTGAGTGCAATACAGAATCCCCATGTGGTAGCGCAGTTTAAAGGCATTTTAACCTGTTGTCTGAAGTTAGGGAATAATTTAGGAAATGCTTCTCTGAGAATGTTTAATCTGAGATGAAACGGAAAAGAGGGAATTTGGCTGGGATGAGGGTGGGGGCTTCCAGGAAGAGAGGGGCAGGGAATCTTCAAGGTACGGCATGAAGGGCACCGTGGCTGGGCTCTAACTGGACAGCTGATGAGGTGAGCAAGGAGTAGATGATGCAGTCCCCCTTTGGAAGTCATGATGAAGATTTGGGAAATTCTGTAAAGAGCAAGGAGAAGGTACTAAAGAGTCTAAACAAGGGTGGCCCAGTCAGGTTTATATCTGAAATCAAACTCAGTAGAATGATTAGAGGGTTCAGGAGTGAATGCAATGGGGCCTGCTGTGGGACTACCTCAGTGAAGAAGCTGCTGTGGATCGGGGTAGTGGCAGCAGAGAATAGTGACAAGCCGCCTGATTTGGGAGAGAGTTACAGGTACACCCACAGGCCTACTGTCGATTAGATACGTGAGAAGAAGGAAAGGGAGGCACCAAGAGCCATCTCCAAGTTTCCTGTTGTTAGTGGCCATGTTGCCCTCAGCTGGATTCTCCCACAGCCACTGTGATGAACTCAGCATTCAAGCAGGCTGCCTTTCCAGACCAGGCCTTCATTGGCCATTTTCTTTCCAGTGGCATCCAGAAGCCACTCTTCTTTCTGACTGTCATATTTATTTTTCTCACTACAGTTAGCATGAACTACAAAGATTTTATTTTAATACAAAAATATATTCGTATCTTGAATCTGCCTCAAGTCATCTGTGCAAAGAGGCAGGGCTGAAATACTTATTCCACATATCCTAGCTTAAGGATCTCATTACATTGTCTATCTCTAACATTTCTTTTACTAAATTCTGTTAAAATTATTTCTCAGAAATAAGTACATGTACAGTGAGAAATCTTATGAGTTTTGTGAAGATTAGTAAATTCATGCCTTTATTGAAATAGTGGGATTATATCTAGGGCTTCAACAGGGGAGGGGAAACCCTACTGCTTTAGTTAAGGATAATAATTATGACAGAGATGGATACTATTTACATTTCAAATTTTGACACAAGTGAAAACAGTTTTCTTTGAAATAAGCTTTGACATTTTATGAGATTTGTTACATCAAACATTAATCAGGTGCCAAAAAAATTCCGAGTTGCTCACAGTGTGTAAGTACAAAAGCTACTATTTCTTTGAAAGATCTACCTATTTTTCTATAAATCTGAGTCAAGTGGGTATATAAACAATAAAATGTTTCTACCTTACAATAGAATGTCGGCTAAATGAGCCTGAAGATGTGGAAATCCCATTAATCTCTGATAAAATCAACAAGCAATTTACTTTCATTCCATATTAGATCTATGGAGGCTAAAAAAATGGAGAAAGTAAGATCTGGGGACAGGATTCAACCAGTCTTCCAGAGCAAATAGCTGGTTTATTTTATACTGTAGAACAGCAATATCATTTCTAGATCTTCACACCCTTTTTTAGAAAATGCAGAAAGAACCCTATATTATCTAAAAATCTGCTAGTAGCTTGTGTGCAAACAAAAGAAAAGATACTTCAGTATGCTAGAAACAGAAAGACTACTTCTTAGTAACAATTCAGGCATTTCTTTGATTTCATATGATGGTTGGACCAGGTTATGAAGTAGGAAGCAGACCTTACTTCACATGTAAATAAATATGAAAGCTCTTCACAACTATAATTTCAGAGTTTTGAATTGACAAAGACGGGCGGGATTCTAAAGTGCAATGAATTCTTTAAATGTATGCAAAATAGAAAATAGAAACTCTTTGAAAATTTGAGTCCAAGTTAGAGATCACGCTGAAGCCAGAGATGATTTCAGTAGACAATCATTAAGAAAGGTGAGAAAACAGAATATTTTACCACGTATGTTTGACGAGGTAGAGCTCTAATTTGTTGGCTTCTAATAAAAATTGGAAAATCTTTTTAAAAAAGTATTAATTTGAAGACATATATACCTATCTTGCTATCTGTCCTATCTTTCTATCCAATCATCTATTTATCTTTGTACCCACCTTTCTGTTCACCCATCCATCCATCCTACCAACCTCTCTCCCTCTCTGCTCCTATACCCCGTCATTTCTGTTGAGATAAATATTCCTTTGTGTACAACTTTTGCTTTTCCTTTTCTGTATAAATTACGCTTTTTAGTAAATCTCATCATTATGAAAGTATTCTGGCCAGTATGTTACAAATTTCTTCCTGATAGTCTGACTTGAAACGCTTACATTTTCTCTAGTGAAATGTAATTTACTCTCTAACACTACTCAAAATTTAACCTATAATTTTATCAGTATATAAGTGGCCTGAATTCATTTGTAAGTCAGAATCCATCAAGACTCTTTGTTGTTTTTTTTTTTTTCTCCCTCCTGGCCTGACTGCAGGGGAAAAAACATAACTCATTTCTTAATGAAAATGAAAATTTAAGGTTTGTTTTTCCAACTAAAGTAACCATACTGATCCATTTATTTGTGTATACTTGCTGTCTACAGTGGTGCCTGACATCCAGTGAGTGAACAGCACTGACAGCAAACTGAATGATCCTTCCCATGGGAAAGATGCAGAGACTGGTCCAGAGTGTCCTTTCCTTTAAAGCCCTCAGGAATTCCCCACAGGCACTATAAAGGTGTAAGGCAGGGGCCTCTTATTCCAGGGGGCATTTACCCACAAAGTCTTGGGGAGAGAAAACTGAATACACTGTTCAAATGAGAGAATCACCCCCTCCTTTCTTTTTTCATCTCTGCTTTTATTGGAGGTAAAAAGTGTTCCTCTACTTTAAAACTCTGAAGTTCACAGAACCACAATGAGGGGAGGCAGGAAGGACCGAATCATTGTAAATACCTGTTTCACTTTAATTTTTCAACATGGCATAAAAAAATACATTAAAGAAAAGTGGAGAGGTCAGAGCAGAGGAAAGAGGATGGGACAAAGGGAAGTAAGGAGGGAAGAGAGAGGCAGTAAAATGAGAAAGAGAAGGGGTTGGGAAAGGGAGGAGAGGTGAGGGAAGGGAAGCAAAAACTGTGAACTCTGCTGGGTACTTTT